ATCAATACTCATTGTCGTTACCCTATATGAATAGCAAACGAAGTATTAAAATGTACAGAATGTTATTTTTACATTATATGTTCTTGCCTTACAACGTAATATGTATATTTAATAAAAGTATGCATTAGATGTGTGAAAAGTTTCTGCTTCTTTCTCTCTCGTTTTCTTCGTTACTCGCTTCACTAGATTTGTTTCACATGATCGGCCTTATATTATGTAGAAAGAAGATCAATATAATAGTTCTAAATCGACTTTTTTTTTTTTCTTACTCATATTAAATATATGGTGGACACAGGTAATTAGAGAGTGTGTGTGTGTGTGAGATAAAAAGAAGAAAGATTGAAATCGTTTAACAAACATGCAAGGACAACTATGAAGGAGCGTATATATACACGTTCGTATAAACTCGGATGATGATAATGATGATTCAATTTTATATATTTTATGTAGATATATGATCGCTTCATTTTTTCACCTTTGATTGTTGTTCTTGAACGTTTTCTCACATGTCTTATTCACATACACACGTATCGTCGTTTTATTATGTCTCCTGTCATCATCTGGTGATTCTTGCTTAGTATTATAATATAAAGTGCAACGCCATTTCTTTCCTTATTCTTCATCTTCATCTTTTTATTTCTTTTTATATGAATTAAGAGAGAACACACACATAGGATTTTTTCTCTCCTTTTTTTATACTCATAAAAGTGGTTCTCACATATTATAAATTATTCGTCCGAACAACCGAACAAATCTAATGATTTCAATTGAGAAGAAGAAGAAGAAGAAGAAAAGAACGTGAGAGCAATAGTAGTAGTAAGAATTATATTCGATATAAACGATGTATATGTCTGTCTTTGGCTTCGCATCAATGCATTATTATAGACATCGATGTAGATCAACATGACACTTGAACACATCGATTAATATTGAAAAGAAGATTTTCTTACCTGTTGCTTTTCACTTCTCCCTTTTTTCTATTGTTCTGTCTATCTTTTCATAACTATCGTACAATGTGCAATGAAGAGAGAAATTATCATGATATAAGTATGACATACTAGAGAAAAAATACTTTCAGTTTATTAAAAATACTACTTGCGCATTATCAATAATATTCGTTTATCTATATGTATATTTTCTCTTATAGATCATACTAAATAATAATGTCGGTTAAACGAAAGTGTGATTTTGATCGGCCTGAATCATCTTCAACTCCGTGTTCTGAAGATGAAACAATGACTAGGAAATATATTAAAACTGAAGAAATTTTTAATCATAATTCTCCATTAATTAATGAACGTAAGTAATCATAATTATTTTTTTTTCTCAAAAATTCTTATATTATAAAATTAGATGAATCAAATGAAAAACATTCAATATCTCCTCATTTATCTCTATCCAATGAATCTCATTCAGAAGAAACAAAAATCCTACCACAACGTAATCGTCGAAAAAATAATCCTTCTCAGTCGAAAATATCACAAAATCCTTTATCATCATCGACATTATCAACTTCATCATCATCGTCATCATCATCGCCATCATCATCCATAACTATTCCTATGATTCTTAACTTAATCGATTCATTAGTTGATGAAAAACAACTTGATAATAATGATGAAAATCTTTTAGTAACTATTGATTGTCTTATTAATAGCTTAAAACATTTACGTGAAAAAATCAAAACAATTAATCATGATGATACACATCCATTAAATTTATCTAAACCAAAAATCAAACAAAATATACATGATGAAATAAATTCAACTACAACATCATCAAATTTTCCTTTAACACCAACACTTTTTTCTTCACCACCATTTTTTCCACCATTTTCTGGTAAAAAAAAACTTTTTTCTTTTTTGCACAATACATTAATCAATGATTATTAATATATTTATTTATAGTTGCTAATATGACTCATTTACAAAATTATTTAAAATTATCTGCTGCATCCGTTCTTAATGATTCAATTGTGTGTATAAATATTATCGACAACTTAGTCTTTATTTTCTTTTCTGTTTTTTAGAATCTAAAAAATGGAGAAAATAGAAATTCAAGATCTTCCTTACCATCACCATTTCTTGCTGGTAAAGAAAACAAATGAATTAATTTAAGATATAATTCTTTTTTAAATAGGTTTAAATATGTTTGCTTTTCCACAGACATCAGGCCATTTACCTCATCATTCGTCAAATACTAAATCAACAACATCAATTGAAACAATGAATACAAATCATAATAACAATAATAATCATCATCATTATCATCATCATCGTGAATCTTCAATTGACAAAGACTCATCGTTAGGTAAGTTTAAATGTTTGTCTATGATTACAAAACAAATGAATATGTAAATCATTCAACCAAAACACAATCATTTATTATTAATGTAACAATAGTAAAAAGAGAGAGAGAGAGAGATATACATACGTATATGAAATAGATATTAGTTGATTATATACTTAAATACGCATTGTTCGTAATGATTAAAATAACAATAGACAGGTATACCTAATATTTATCTGTCTTTTGATGAGATACTAAGATGAAAGGGTACATTATTATTTCTATATCGAAATATGATATACGACGTTACTTGCAAAAAAAAATAAATGATTGATAAAATATTATCAATATATTTAATGGTGTCTATTAGAATTAGAAATCAAATTCAATACGATTGATTATAATTCACAGTAAAAGTCAATTAGAAAATAATTGTTAAGATTCATTAATGTAAATAAGTCAAAAAACACGGATTTTATCGAGATTGTTTTCTTTAGATAGAAAAACAAAAAAAGAAAAATTTTTTTTCTATGAATTTATTTAGCACGTCAAATTTCAACAAATCGAAAAGAACGAAATCATTCAGTATCATCGAATAGTTTATCAACATTATCTTCTAATAATGGAAATAATGAAACATTAACATCTAATGATCATATAAAACGTCCTATGAATGCATTTATGGTTTGGGCACGTGAAGAACGACGAAAAATTTTAAAAGCTTGTCCAGATATGCATAATTCAAGTATCAGTAAAATCTTAGGTACTCGTTGGAAAGCAATGAGTAATGAAGAAAAACAACCCTATTATGAAGAACAATCACGTTTAAGTAAAGTTCATATGGAAAAATATCCGGATTATCGATATAGACCTCGACCAAAACGAACATGTGTTATTGATGGAAAAAAAATTCGATGGTACGTTTTCTTTTATCTTTTGGTCTTACGAAAATTCTTTTTTTCTTCTTCTATATATCAGGTCGGAATATAAACAAATGTTAAAACAACAAAAAGTTGGTCCATTCGATGAACAATCATCACCTGATGGTAGTCATTATCTACGTAAATAATTTCATTCTTTTTTATTTTGATTAATTTTTTGTCTCTCTAGATAATGATGAAAGTAGTTCAGATGGTAGTAATGCTTCACAGAAAGAACTTGTTTTTGCTGATTAAACAATGTGATTTTCATTGACACAGTTGAAGTACTTCAAACAGTATTCTCTTTTATGTCTGATCAGGTGTATTTGACAGTTTGTTTTATATACATATACATATACATATAAATATAAATATATATATATACATAGAAATAAATACAGTGAATCTCATTGGATGTTTAACAGCCTTGTTTTTTATTCAATGTAAATTAGGTTTTTGTATTTATGCGCATGGTTTTAATCCCGGTGCGCAATATATATCTTTTCTTATTCTTCTTTGTGTTTTATGTTCATTATTCATATTTTATTCTTTTTATGTTTATCATTCTTACATTGTGTCTCTTTTTTCTTTTCTTTTTTTTTTTGCTTTTTATTAAAAACATTTTTTTTTTGACATTCTATAAAAGATAAGAGTTAATCTAATAGATCGGAATGTGTGACAATTATAAAAAAGAATTTTTGAAAATTTAATGGTCTGATTGTTTTATTAAGAGTTTAAAAGATTGTTTTCATATATTACAAATAAACAAAGATGATTTGATTGAAAAGAGTTTCATATCTATTGACCGATTTCGTTGTATTTCCATGGATCAAACAAAAAGTAACCAACTTTATCCTGTTCAAAGTTAAAGGGGGTGATCGAAAATCGTTAATTTTAATGTACTCTAGAAATATCATAATACGAAAGTCCTTGTCATCCAGATCACGAATCTGACATCCGTTTGTCTAGATCTGATCCTTTTTTTCCAACAATTTCCAATATTTTATAAGGAAAAATGGGATTTAAACTTCCTTATACGAAAATGTTCAGCGAAAAAAACTCTACAAAGTTTGAGGAAAAAGAAAATTTTCTGAATACTTATCTGTTTGTGTTTGCAACCTTACGGAACTACCGTACTGAGACTCAGGTACCCCACTATGGCAAACACAGCAAGAAAGGGATCGGATCTAGACAAACGGATGTCAGATTCGTGATCCGGGTGACAAGGACTTTCGTATTATGACATTTCTAGAGTGCATTAAAATTGACGATTTTTCGACCATCCCCTTTCAGATCTCTTCTGAAGAATAACTCTTCACTTATACGTAAGAAGTGTACAACATAGAAAAGAAAAACTACAGATATCGAATGCTTTTTATATCTAGAAAATTTCTGAAACCATCATTTCTCCTCCTATAAATGTATATTCACGTAAAATATACTTGATAACATCAGTATTAGGACACAGAATGTGTAAATCGTAAGATGTCTACTACTAATTTCTCTATCCTGCTGTATTATATCATAAAATCAGTTATTTTTATTATTAAAACGCGTAGATTATCTATTTTTTCATATATGACATGTGGCGCCCTCTATTCATTTATCTATGAAAATTTATATAATGAAAATGAAATAGGCCTTAAAATTGATGGAAAATAATAAATCAAATAAATTGAATTCTTAAAAACATGCTTTCTCCAATAAATATCAAATAGTAACCATAGTAATTTAATAAATGAATAAATGTCATGAGATCTGATAATTATATACCTAATATCATATACCATCATGTCAATCAAGCGTGATTCTACCAATGATCTTAAATATGTTCTTTTACCTACATTGGAAAATCATCGTCGTGAACCTAAATTTCAACCATGGTATTTATTGATTTTTCTCTCTACATTAAAATTCTTTTCAACAAAAAGAACTTGTTTGAAATATTGATATTCTCTAGGGCAATAAATAATTCCAAGTGAGATAATTCATTCTTATTCGCTGCTTTTTATTCTCTTTACCCCTTTGCTCTATATTATGATTCCTAAAATTTTGCAAAAAATACGAAAAGAAAAACATGTTTTAGTATTTCTCTAGGTATCGAGAACGAATGAAAATGAAATATCCATGTCATATAAATACAAAAAATTGGAAATTTGTCAAAGACGGTCTAGATGATTTTCGTGATGGTTTACCACCATCGCATAATGATATTATATTAGAAGTATAATTGATTTAACAATTGATTTGAAAAAACTTCTTTTTTTTGATAGCCTGATAAAGGTCCCGGTCCAGTAATCATCTCTCAAAAACGTCGAGTAAAAGCTACTGTATCCAATCCTCGTCGTCGTCTTGATGATCATCAAATATTTTTTAGTCGAGAATTACCAACTGCAGAAAAACGTCGACAATTAATTGATTATTATATATCAACATTACTCGATCATCCAATGGCGTTTTTTCCACATTTTAATCAAGTTTTATCACCGGATGTGAGAAGAAAATTATTCTTAAATCAATAAATAAAAAGATTAAATTTTAGATGTATGAACAAGTCGCAAAATTACTCGAAGGTGAATTATCACGTGTAATTAACGAGGAACAAAATTTATTATCAGAAGAACATAAAGATATGGTTTCATTATCTCCAAGTGTTCCGATAACTGGATTCGACAGAAGTAATACTGATAAAACTGTATCAGAACAATCTGTTACAACTCATAATCAAAATTCATCAGAAGAATCAGGTGCGAAGAAAAAACGAACACGACCAGGATTAAGTACCATTGTCTATGATGAAGCAGGAAATCAATGGGATTCGGAAGAATATGAAAAAAAACAGAAAAATCCTTATCGTTGGTATATTGATAAACAAATTGAAATACAAAATTCAAAAGGACCTACACGTGAAGATATAGCAGCTTCAGCTATGGTAAATTTTTATAGATAAAAAATTCTTTACGAAATTTTCTTTGTTCTATTCTAGGAAGCTCATCTTCGAAAAGTTGCTGAACATTTTTGTAGTTGGTTATATGATCTTGGTGGTGAATCAAATTTTGATATAGATCCAGCTGTTGTTCGAAATTTATTTTCAACTGCTTATGATACAAAACCATCACTTGATGTACCAATTAAAATAGTACAAATGACAAGAGTTAGTGTTAATTTTTTGTTCTAATTATTAGTTTTTTATTTTCTAAAATTTAGATTCCACCAGAATTACGAGAAGGTGTACATGACACCATGATTGCTGGATCGAAAGAAGAAAAACCAACGTTTAGTAAAACGGTATTATTCTATAAATAGAAACTAATTAAAATATAGATGATGTATAAATCATTCAAGTAGATATACATTAACTTCAAAGTATTTTCTTTTCATCTCAAAAAAAAGATGACTTTAATGTAGAAAATAAAGTGTTCATAAGGCAGATGTTTCCTCGGGTGACAGATATGAGTCTTATTTTAATTACTTTTATTAAACATATATATCATACTTTGCAAATTTGATATTTTTTTTATCAAAATTGAATCCTTTCGATTTGTATGTTGTGTTGATGATAGACAACAACTTGATTTTGACGTAACAGCAAGTTTCAAGGACAATCGATCATAAATTTAGAAAGTAGTTTTATCTAAAAGGCATTTTTGCCTGAAGGAGTAATGATTAAAAATAAGTTTTGTCATTATAAGATCAGATATTCTTCTCATATGGCTCTTTTCATACCGAATATTTTTTAGCGTTTAAATCCTAAAGTAACAAAACCAAATGCATTAACATCTCGTTCTATTGATTCATCAAAATTTGGCAAATATCGATATGGTGCTTGGTATTTACCTAGAAATCTTTGGCAACGTTCATTAACAACTGAACAACTTCAAGATCCGAAAAAAATTCAAGCCGAACGTGAAGATGCTACACGACTACGAGAAGAACAAACTGTAAACAAAAAACTAATTTCTTTTATATATTAAATCAAAATATTTCATACATATTTTTTTAGAATGCTTATCTTGCTCCATTGCACGGTGTTGATGCATTCAAAGATTATTTAGTGGAAAAAAAATGTTCGCCGTTTACCAAAAGTAAATCATATATCTATTTATATTAGACTTGAAAGTTGGATTTCAAGTCTACAGTTGAAGATCAGTGATTATTAGATCTTTTTTTTGACGAGCTTTGAACTTTAAATTGATGACAATGAGAGTAAAGGATTCCGAAGAGCATTTGTAATTTTTTATTTTGAATGTTTCAAAATATCTTGGCCTCAGCGAAGAAAAAATGTATAAGGTGATTTTTATCATGAGATCACCAATGGTGGCTATAGGTGAGTTATCAACCACCCATATTTATCACTTCACCGAAATCAATTTACTCACTTTTTCACCAAGACACACTCATCTATCTTCTTCTTATCCTAAGCGGAACACTTGAATTTAACTTTCAAGTTTCACGTACTCGAAATCAGTCAAAGAATTAAATCAATAATCTTTGTTTTTCTCATTATTTAATAGTTAATTGTCGACGTTGAACAATATCGTCGTGATCATCCTCGTGATTTAACAAATTCAACTAATGATTTTCAACGAAAAGAAACATCTTCATATGACTAATTGTTTTTTTTTTATCGAATTTTTTATAATTATTTTCAAATGACATGTACTCTTTTTTTTCTAGATTATTTTTTTATTATGACAGATAAACCGGATTCATATGCTGGTTTTAATGAGTACAATCCTTTGTTAGATACTAATGTAAGTAGAATTATACATAACAAAAAATTACAACTTATTTTATTTTCTAAGAGTTTGAAGTATGATACTGAATTACAACAAGCTGTTTTAAAAACTAGTCATGGTCGACGAGCAGCACCGGTAATTTTCTTTTGTTTTATTGATATAAATAATACTTTGTTTACATTTTAGAGTAGTCAAGCTGGTCAGAAAGTAAAGAATTATTTTTTTTTAGGTTATTTTTTATGTGAATTATTATATTTAGGGTGGATTTTTTTCAAAAATGAAAAATGTATTTAATCGACCAAAAAACGCAGATGTACCCGTATCAGCAAGTAATTCGACAACAGGTCGATTAGGAACTGCATCGCGTGCTGCTCAACAACAGCAACAGAATACTGCTGTGGGTGCTCCACTTGGTTCAACTGCTCGTCGTCCTGTTACAGCACAAAAACGACCAACAACAGCTATACAAGGTGCGGGTTTTAGCGCTGGACCGGGAGCATTCGGTAGTTATGTCGCAGTATCAGCAGCAGGACCAAATCCATTCGAAAAGAAAGAAGAAAGGTAAATATATCATTAGGAATAAGATGAAATTTATTCATGTATTTTTTTTTCAGTAATGAAGAAAAAGCACGTAAAATAGAAAAAAGTATTATTGATCTTGTGAATGAAAGTTGTTTAGCTTATGAAAAAAATGATAGTAAAACAGTAAGAAAAACAAAATTCTATTAACTATAATTAATGTAAATTTATTCAGGCACTTGAAAAAGCTGAAGAAGCAGTCAGAAATGAAAAAAGCCTTACTCGATATTGTGAAGAACAAAGTATTAGCGAATCAGATATAAATTTACAGGGTTTCGTATGTATTAATTTCTTCTCATTTACATTTTAAGTTAAACACTTTTTTTTCTATAGGTAACTCTTCATTGTGCAAATATGTATACAAAATGTGGTATGAATACAGAGGCAATAAATCAGTATAATATAATACTTAAAAATAAATTAATTCCTGCACATAGTCGAATGTAAGAAAACATAAAAATTATTTTCCCTAGAATAACAAAAGAAATTTTTTTCAGACGAATAAATATGGGCAATATTTTATTACAATCAAAACAATATGTAAAAGCATTAAAAATGTTTCGTATGGCACTTGATCAAGTGTCTGAACAAAACTCGGATTTAAAGTATAGATTTACAGAGATTACAATACATATTATTTTCTTTTTAAAGATTAAAAATTCGAGAAAATATAGCTGCTACACATATTATAATGGGTCAATATGGTGAAGCAGCTCAAACATATGAATCTATAGTACAAGAACGAGCAAATTATCGTGTTTGTTTTAATCTTCTTCTATGTTATCATACATTGAATCAACGTGATAAAACACGATCAGCATTTACTGATTTACTTAAAATACCATTTATAAATTCTGAAGATGATTATCTTGTATCAGTAAGATACTATGACTTAATTTTTATTGATTAATTATCTAATATTTTTTAGATGGACAAAGAAAATAAACATGCTAATCTTGTTTTAGAAGCCATACGAGATGATCGTTTAAGACAATATGAACGCAAACGGTAGGAAATAAAATAAGATAGCGATTTATATCAAAGAAATAAAACTAGACAGATTTTGTTTTTATCTTAATCTCAATCATGTAGAATAATGTGCAGACTAAGATATGATACGATAGATATCTAGAGGCATTAATGTCTATCTTGACTAGTATAGAACCGATAACTAATCAAGATAACATTAGTACATACTTAATTGTAGATTAATTCGAAGAATTTTGTATCAAAAGGAAACCATACAAAATATCAAAGATTAAATCGGGTTACAAATAAATTGTTCAATATTCAGGTGAGCTAAACGATGGTGACAGTGTGATACTAATCTAACGTTACTAATTAGTTATATACATACTTACCAAATACTGACAATTTTAAAGACTTATTTTTTGTGAAAATAACGATTTTCTCTATTCTTATATGTTATAATTTATCATCTTATCGTAGACGTCGTTTTGCTGAACATGTTATTATTACAGCAGCTAAACTTATTGGTAATAATTCTGATGGTGAATTTGTTGGTGGTTATGAATGGTGTATTGAACAAGTACGAGCTTCGTCTTATATTGAATTAGCAAGTGGCCTTGAAATACAAAAAGCTATTGCTTATTTACGTGAAGACAATTTTGTGAAGGTTAGATAAAAATTGAATAAAATTAATATAAATTATGTTTTTAGGCTATTGCCACACTTAAAGAGTTTGAAAAAGCGGAAGCTAAATTAGCTAGTGCAGGTTTGTGAAGTGATTTCATGAGAAAAATAAGATATATGTATATATAATTATTATTTTTAGCTGCAACTAATTTATCATTTTTATATTTTTTGGTAAGAATATTTGAATAATTTATTAGTTTTATTGTTTTGAAATTTTTCAGGAAAAAGATTTAAATAATGCACATAAATATGCTGATTTAGCTTTAAAATCGGACAAATTTAATCCAGCTTGTAAGTTCAATAAAATTGATATTATCTGAAATTTATTTGTTTTTTAAATTAGCTTTAACGAACAAAGGTAATTGTTGTTATGCTCAAGAAGATTATGATAAAGCACAGTATTATTATGAAGAAGCATTGAATATTGATGCTGGTTCTGTTGAAGCTCTTCATAATCTTAGTAAGTTAATTCGTTTGAAAAACATATCATTTAGAAATTTTTGTAATTATTTTAAGTTCTTACGTTAATAAAATCACGTCAATTTCAACGTGTCAAAGATTACCTACATAAATATACAATAATTCAGCCCGACAATAGTCAAGTTTTTTGTTTAATGGCACAAGTATTACAACAAACAAATGATATTGATCAAGCAAAAAGTTGGTTAGTAGTATTGAAATAAGAGCTGTTATCAAGAAGTCGACAGTTGTTTATCGTGCATTCAATTTAGTTTAGTTAATTAGTATTCGTATGTTTCCTGCATTGAGTTATAGACAATAAACAGATGAGGCTTTCTCTGTCCGGTTTTTGGTTGTATTTTCGAAAAATATTCTGACTACATATCTAGTGGTCTTTTGTTTTTACGACGTTCAGGTGGCATTCCATCAGATCTGACAAATGATCTGTGAACAACTTCGCATCTAGATTCTAACTATCGTCTAAAATGGAAAGTCCGGCAGTTTTACTGAATAGTCCGAGATCTTTAGCTAGTAGATCCTATCATCACTCGTGAAAATGGTCGCTCTACAAGCAGAAAATATTTTCACATAGCAGTAATATCAGAAAAAAACTTATTCGATTTCCCATGTAAATATGCTTTTTTGTTACTGTCGAAAATTTCTTATCTACAAGGAGTTTAATTCAAAGTCAAAAAATTGATTCAACCATAAAATAGAATAAAGAATTTTATTTAAAACTCTTTAGGTATTTACAAGCATTAAGTATACATCGAACGGATGGTTATTTACATCGACGAATAGGTGAATTAATTGATGGACAAAGTAATAAATCAGATGCCTTGCAATATTATTTCGATGTATGTAGAAAATAGTTTAAAAGCTTTTCAATATTAACTATTTCTCATCAAGGCTTATCGACATAATCCATGTGATATAAAAACCTTAGAATGGCTTGCATCTTATTATATTGAAACACAATATCCTGAGAAAGCAGTAGAATTCTGTCAACAAGCCGCCTTAGTCAGGTAAAAGAATTTTTTATTTAAACCAAATAAAAAAAACCATAAGGTATATTTTTAGACCAGGTGAAATTAAGTGGCATTTAATGGTAGCATCATGCTATCGTCGTGCTGGTGATTACACAGCTGCCTTAGAAAAATACAAATGGATTCATCAACATTTTCCCGAAGATACTGATTGTAAGATTTCCTTATATTCAGAATCGTTCTTTAGGGATTTACAAGACTTATATATGCTTGAATTTAATCGTTTAGGAGTATTAGATAGTACGTTCATTTTGCGTAGTAATATTTGTAAAAAAACAGAACACGCTATATTATGTTTTTCCTTCGGTCTATGGAATCATTATTTCAGTACTTTTTTTAGAACATTTATTTTAATAACTTCCGAAACCTTAACAAGAACATTTACATTGTATGCTTTCATACATGTTTCTTTCCTCTTTTTCAAAGGTGTAAGTCGCAACCGCCCACATTATTTCTAAAGAAAATTATTCATAAAATATCTATTTATATTTCTTTTCTATAGAAATTGCTTAAAATATCATTTTTATTTCATGAAAATATCTATTTAAAGTTTTCAAGATTTTATTAATTTTTTATGCATTCATAAATAATAAAGAATGATATATTTTTGATTTTTTTAATAATATACTTTTTAGGTATTCAATTTTTAATTAAAATTTCTACTGATCTTGGTTTACATGACCGTGAAATGTATGAAAATGAATTAAAGAAAGTAAATAAACTCAAAGAAATACAACAGCAGGTATTCAACAAACATTCAAATTTAATAAAAATAATTCAAATTTTTCCTAGCGTAAAACAAGTGCAGATAAAAGTCAAAATATGATTAAAGGTCGAAAAGTAACATCTACTGAACGTGATGGTAATAACAAAAAAACAAGAAATTTTTTTTCTAATGTTTTTTATTTATTTAAGTTTCTTCAAACAATCGAAACCAACAAATAGATGATCATAGAAAAAGAATACCTATTGACCTCGACAATACAGAAGGTGTTTTTTCTCAACAAGGTTATTGCAAACTATATTTTTTTTTGTTTTGTTTAAATATTTGTTTTCTGTTAGAACTTATTACAACTCATCCGTATGTTGAGCAATTTCCTGAACATATGAAAAATGAACGACCAAAAACTGCGATTAGTAAAAAAGAAGCAAATACAATTATTTTCGATGACAATGACGATGCAGCTGAACTATTACCCGATTAAAAACAGACAGATTTATTACTTTTTTTCTCTCTTTTTTTTCTCTGTTTTATACGTTTCTCTAAGAGCAATAAAAAAATAGTGGCAATGCCAATATGGATTGGTTATGGAAACCCCTTGAATATTTTTTTTTCCTCAGTTCTTTTTTCTCATCTGTTTTGCAGCTGATCATATTTTGTTTTTCCTCTTCCGTTAGAAGAGAAAACAATAGCTAACGGATAGAAAAAGACGACAAAATATGTCGGTCGTACATCTTTTCTTCTAGGCTTTACAGAAGAAAAGAACGAACGGTATTGATGTAAGAGAGAAGAAGAAAAAAAAAGCTAGGCTGACGACCTTTTCTCTTTCTTTTACAAGTAGCAACAGATATCATTGTAAGTAGCAAGCAAATGTCAAATAAATTTTACATTGGTTTGTACTCTTAAATTTTAGTTTTTGATAAAAATTTAATGGATCTTTTTTTGTTGGAAGCATTTAAATTTTTATCGTGTAATTTAATAAATAAAAAATGCAGACTATAAGCATTTCCGATAGTTAAATTTAAACTTCCTGTTGAGTTTTAAATTAGACATAAGATAGTAATAATATTGACTATAATTAAACTGGTTTTTATGATTAAAAGTTGATAAATAACGTGTTGATCATGTGCGTGACATGAAAGTATAGCCCGTTTTAAGTCTAGGGAAAATGCATGTCTTTTTCTCTTTCTTTTTCTATTTTTTCTCGCTCGCATTCCTCCATCCTGAGTGCGTCAAAAACAGTTCCTTTTTGTTGTCTACCATCTAACATAAGCAATCATCAAATAGAGTAGAAGAACATATCGGGTAGTTTTCTATGAATTTCTGTGGAAAAAAAGAAACTATTTTCATAACACTAGAATATTCCTATTATGAAAATAATAAGTTTATTTTTTTTCGAGTTTTATTGAAAAGAAAAAAATTAAAAATAATAAAGTTTAATCATATCTATAGATTGTTAGTTTCTATTTAATTAATAATAATGAATAACTATATATTCTTTTTTATTTAGTTTTATTTTCAATATAAGAATTACGAACATGTACTCATCTGGCTCCGATCTTGAATTAGTATCATCATCCAACAACATGAATTCCTTCCAAACATGGAACCAGCATAATGATTATTATCCTCGTAATGGCTCATTTCATCAACATAATCCTTACTTCATACAAAAACCAAATGATGATAATATTGTTTTAGAAAAATTTCAATATGATACATTAGTTAAATTAGAAACAGGCGAAACAAAAAACATACAACAATTAACAACAAATGATTTTCTAATCAGTACGAAACAAAGTCAACAATACTCGAGGTAATAAAAGACAGACAGAAAAAAGAAATAGAAGGCATAACTTTTGTCATAACCAACGATAAAATATATGTTATGTTTTTTCATATTTTTTTGTAGTCTTTTCGCACGAGTAGAATATATTGGTTGTGTAGATAAATATACTGGTAAAGTTGAATTACGTTTTTATATTAATGAAATTCAAAAAATGGTAATGAAATATTTATATTTAATGTTATAATTAAATTTTCTTCTTTTTCAAGATATCATATTATGTTCAACAAGAAATGCCATTTTTTGTACATCAATATTCTTGTTGGTCATCAATATCACCTGAATATACACGTCGTATATGTGGATTAAATTGTCGTCAATTAGAATGTGGTGATATAATCATGGCAATAACTGAACATCCAACGATTTCATCACAAAAATATATTAAACCTGATTATACTCAACAATCACCAACGAAATGTTTAGTTGAAAGATATATGAATGAAAAAATATCATCATCAAAAGATAATATAATATTAAAAAAACAAATATTTTCAAATACAAAATGAATATTGAAGACAAAACGATTAGTGTTTTTTTTATATATCCTGATTTATTACGCTTGGACGCGTCTAAATGTCTTTAATATATATTTTCTTGCTTTAAGGTACATTATAGGCTTAGGTTATTCCTGGTTTCTTTTTTCGCACTAATAATAGTAAATAAATTTTGTTTCGTGTTGTCTGCACTATTATATGTATAACAGATCAAGTTTCATACGAAAAAATCTTATACTTTATTTTTATTTCTATTGTCAGTATTGTATTATTGTGATTCCCATTTTTTTCTTTTTCAACGATTCATATTTATAGGCTAATTTTTAATGATTATTTTTTGTTTTCTTATATTATGTTCTTCATTTACCTATATTATATGTATGAGTTTAGTTTGAAAATTGTTAATCATATTTAATAAGACAAACATTTGTTTCTATTTAGGAAAATTATATTTTATGTGTGTATGTTATTATTCGTAGGAAATAAACAGAAATTGAATTTAATATGATTTAAGATTATTTCAAACTGGTTATAATGATAAGCGATGATAAGAAAAAGTATTCGTTTTTCAAGTTCGTATTAAAATGAAAATTTCAATCATAGTTTGTGTATTATTTGCTTAGAAATAATCGCAAACTCAATTTGTTTTTTTTTATATTATTAATTAATGAAAGTATGGTGTAATTAGAGCGAGACTGACGGGTGGGCGTTATCAGGATTTGGTTGGCGTATGTTACTTATTTGTACGGGAGTACGAGGAAGTAAAATATGTTATAAACGACTGATATACTATTTATATATGGAATTTTTGTTGCGTTGTGTATTTCAAATATATTTACTTTTTTCTTTTATTGTTAGGTATTTACAGAATGTCATGAAAATCTCTATATCAGCGGACTAGACTGATATATCCGCTTCAAATAGCATAACTTTTCTTTTTTTTCTTTCGAGAACTTAAAGAATCTCTTTGTGATGTGAATGCGTAATTAGTTATTTTCTGTTAATTATATGTTACAAAGTACAGCATGATAATAATATATATCAGGTTTGTTCTTTTACACTCAATAGTATGAAACGTCCTTTGAAGGAACGTAAGTTCATAACTCATTAAAAGTCGATTTGAACTAAAAGTAACATCAATGATGATTATCGTCGAGTTCCGTCGATTATAATAATCATCTGTTTCTAGTCGCTATTCTTATTAGAAAAACAAGCAAAAGTAATATTTATACCATACAAAATTTTACAATATATATATAATAAAGTTGTATGTCTTCCTAATAACTACTCTTAGTAGAACAGAAAATACACACCAATTAATAAAAGCCTATTGGCGAAAACTGTTTCATTCTGGAATTTGAAACAAAACTAGATCTAATACTATAGTACCTTCAGCTAGTAATGGAAAGGAAATGTATTGTAAGTAAAAAAAATTGAACTTATTCACATCATTCACTTCTATAAATACTTTGAGTGAACGAATGAGATTACTTACTCTGTGCATATTCTCTTTTTTTTTATATTTATTACACAAATCGACGCTTTCACATATCGGAGAGTGTGATGACGTGCTAAATTTAATTATAGTCGAGTAAAGAACATCTTTTCTACTCAATAAACTATCATTTTTTTCCAAGTAAAATCTAATCAATGAGTTACTAAATCATGTAATTTTTTAGGTTAATAGTACGGAAAACTAGTAATATGAATAGCTGTTATATTGAAAGTAGAATATTTCGATTGAGATATAAGCTTGTTAATTGGTAATAAGAACTTTGGATTGATTCTAATACGTTCAAGTTTTCTCTATTATAACATGCGTCTTTTCATAGGTAATAGAAAGATCAGTGTGAAATTGAATGCTCTAGTGTTTTGAGTAGTAATTTGAAACAAAATGTATAACAGTATTCTAAAACTGTCATTTCATAGTATACAAAAAAATAAAAAAAAGTAACCAATGTTCCCATATTTGAAATGAATGCACATACAAATTTCATCTGATATATTGCGATACACATATTATCTAAATTTACATTAGTGAATAATATATTCGAGGGAAAGTGTGTTGCAATGAATATGTTGTACATTTTACTTTCACTGTATACATGTACCAATAGAAATACTGACTTGATGTATCTCTTATTGTAATAAATTTTATCACTAGAGGAATTATCTGAATTTCTGTAAATTTTGCTTTTCGTTTTTTATGCAATAATAAATGACACATTTCCTCAAATATGAAGTCAGTCTTACTATTAACCAACTTAATTGTATCAATAAAACATGACATATACAGCTCATAACCTGATATTCATTGGACCGAAACATTCGTCACACACAAACCTACTTGTCAATCTATCCGAGCGCAACAATCATAGTCATTTAAATATAATATTGAAGCATAATTTGAGGAAATATTTTAAAAAATCGATATTTTTTCTTATTTACGGATGGGCGTATATTACTAATAATGTGTCAAAAGTATGCGTGATTTTAAAGTTTCTTCATCAATAATCATTTTTATTCTGTATATGTGTGCCTAATGTTTTTCTTTTGAATCATTGACAACTATCTCGTTTCTTTCTATTCTTCCTTCACTTGGTATTTTCATGCATATCAACCGATTCTGATCAATTGACGTCATTTTCAATCAAGTCACAAAAAACATAGGTATATAAAATCGTTTTCATATCTGAATAAATATTTTATTGACGACATCGATAACCCATGGCTCTACATTTACTTGCTCTTGGTGCTCTTGGTGCAGGAGTGGCAGCCGTTGGCGCCGTCGGACTTGGTGCAGCAGTTGCATATAAAGTAGGTTCCGCCTTTGGTACGACAGTCGAACAAATGTACGAGCGCCAACCTATGGACAGTTATTATAACCAGCAACAATATCCTCAATATTCACAACAGCAGTATTATCAATATCAAGAACCAAGCAGACATCATCATCATCATAGTTACCACTCTTCTCATTATCGGCATTGAATGTATTATATATATACATATTCATATACACGAACATTTATATTACGTTTAATAAAAAAAAACATATTAAAGGATTGTACAGTGGAGCAAATAATGCAATCAAACGATACAGAAAATAGGAATGTGATAGACTGATGATATATTACCTAA